TAATAAAGGCTAGATGTCTTACGGCGGAGTCTCTATCGTCATCACCGGCGGTCATCTTGTCACAGGCAAGCTTTCTGGCGGGCTCTGTGGTACCTGATGTAAGATGAGTGATCAGCACGAACACACTCTTATCTCGTTGAAATCTTGACGGATTTACAAACGGTTTGGTTTCTTACAACCGTTATTAACGTGGCTATAATTCTGGATGATTATTTATTTATACACTTATTATTCATAAGCATGCATTGTCATAACTACATCTCTGACGTTTATAACAAACCAAACCATTTGAAAATCGATAGAAAATTAAGCAAGTTATGGTTATTTAAAAAGTACATGCACCATTAAAACACAATGTTAAGAGTGAGCGAGCTGCCTGTGACAAGATGGCCGCCAGGTGCAGACGTCGACCTCCATTGGCCAGCAGCGCGCGCGAGACATCTAGCCTTTGTTATGGATATCTATAGCCTGACTTCGTCATACTCATATTCTAGAAAGAATGTGAGTCTGATACTGCTCCATTGGGCTGTGATTATGGGGCATGTTTCAACCGAATCAGGAAAGAAAATGCCTCTGCATTCAATTGGATAGACCTACAACCAATCAGAGCAACGGAGTAAATGACGCATGTTCTTCATTCATCTTTCCGACCGACAAATGCCTTGATCGCGGTTCTCTGTTCCTCTTTTAAAAGCAATGCGCTGTCGATATCTTCTATAACAGACGCGATGGCGGAATCTACACGATTATTGTTATTTCATAAACAAAGTTCGGGAGGAGCACGTTCAAATAATCAATCCAATCAACTTGTCATCAAACAATACCATGTCTAACGTTACCCTATCAGCATGAGAGGAAGCATATTCACTCTAACTCACCTAACACTCCTCGACAGTTTTTCTGCATCCCTCCACCACCCCGACTCCTCACTCTTGGCTTGTTCTTTCACAGCCAGGAATACGGGGGAGTAGGCCTACTCTGGGTTCGGGCCGAATACCGATCACGGAGCCCTCTCCTCGGACAGCACGTCATATACGCATTATTCTATCTGACTTATTTGTAAGTGTGAACTCGTGAAATCTCAATTCTCCAGCGGCAGAACTTTGTTGTAAACGAATTCAACCCAAGCGCTCTTTGGTGACGTGAGGATTACGTAACTGCACCTCATCTGTCAATCATCGTATAAAGCCCGCCCTGGCAATTTGATTGGTCCGAACATTTTTTGACTGATCAAAATTACTCCTCAATGGATCGAGTCCAGACCGAACTTCCCGAGCAAAAATTGTTGTGGGCGGGGTTCGGGCTGGCAGCCAGGCTAGGATATCTATGGTATGAACGGAAACCGAGGATAGAGCGGATATTGCGTCATTGACAGGCGACATTTTTTTCCGGGACGGCCACTTATTTAAAATAGGAATTTCTCTGAAATAAAAAAATCTTTGGAGACTTTTGGGATATTGTAAGTACACAACTGCAGGAAATATATCACACTGTGCAAGTGATTTTTGGATATTTTATTACAAAATTCTTACATATTGTACCTTTAAGGTATGTGTCTCAGTGGGCCTATACACGAATTGACTTTCACTGGAGTAAAACGTGTGAATTAACCTCGGGCACTCCACAATTTGCAAAAGTAGGCTACAACAAGTAACTACTTATTTATTTTAATGAACCACTTAAAGCAAACTTTTACTTGTATTTTATTCACGCTGCGTTGGCCTGTCCAGTTTCCTGTGCGTAGCTGAAGTGTGTTCCAATCCAGACACATTTGTTTAGTTTACGACTACTTTGACCGTCAACAGGGGCCGCTTGTGCGCCACAACACTCATCTGAAGAGACTGAAGTGTTTGTGTGCGAGCTGCACAATACAACTGCAAGTACGTCTTGAACAACCATCCGGACACAAAGTTTAAGTCATTAAATAGTATTTACATATTTTTAATCTTATACCCCATAGTTCATGCTTGGATCACTTACAGTTACGCAACTGTAGGCTATATGCAACACGTATTTATATTCTTCATGTAGGCTACTTTATTCCTAACAATAAGTAAACATTGCATAGGCTGTAAAGTGGTTTAAATGGACTGTCACTCGTTTAAACATCATCCTTTAAGTAGGATTTTACTGATTGTGCGTCCACATGACAGTGAAGAGAGCATTGACAGGCGAGATTGAGACACCATAAAGCCACATGTAGCCTATTTCATTTGCTGGGGATTACGCTCGTGACATCTAATCGTTCAGACTCAGATGAACGTGAGGTCCAGAAACAGCTGCACGTGAATCGGTACAGCGCAAATCTTGAACTTTTACACGTTTTTTGTTTATTTCAAACTCAGTGATCCAGTTTTAGCCTTGTCTACCGTGACAACTGTTTTTACTTTCCATGTCATGTGAGGGCACCATGGTCACTTTCTTTCCTTGATTTTGGAAATAGTTTTAAACCTTACATGTGCTTTTTTCCCCCTTTATTTTTTTGCTATTATTATTATTTTTTTAGGAATGCATTTGTGGAATAAAGTAATTTAAGCTCCAGTTCGGACTGATTTGTGCAGACGAGCACAATGTTGTCGATGGTTATAGCGTTGTGTCTATCCTGTGCAGAAGGTAAGACCTTTCACATCGTCATTTCTTGCTGCTGGACATGATTTCAAATAGCCATGCCTTCTAATTTATCATGGATGATATCAGAATATGTGAGAGTATGAAAGACCTTTGAAGAAGTTGCTTTAATATCAGTTATTTGCATATTTAAATTCCAACCTGAGTTGTGAACTTTATTGGAGGTAACTTTTTGAAAGTGCACTTCAGCAAGCATCAGCTGAGCACATTATTATAAATGTTACTTTAGCTTCATGGCTAAATATTACTTTGCTTAAGAAGTAAATATAGATTTAATTACAATTTGCTTATATAATTAACTGCAGAATGCAAATAGCTGCTTAGTTATTACTTTAAGTGGATTATTTAATAGTGGGATTCAGACTTTATCACAGTTGTTTTGAAGTGTGCGCCATGGTTTTTAATAGTGAAACTGAGAGTAGGGAATTTTTCTTCTATTGTCTTGATTTACATAGAATAAACCCCTACTTGGAAAGCTCCTAATTTGAAAATGATATGCTGTGGAGTATTTAGTAATGCCAAAAGCAGCAATTTAGAAATGAGAGAGTCTGATAAATAGGCTTGTCATCAGTGCAGAGCCTCAGTCCTAGTTTGAGCTGTGCAAACTCAGTCATGTTTGGCCTAATGTTCTTAGACACTGCACTGACACTAGTCCTTTCTCCCCCTCGGGCTCAGCTATTAACCTACTTTGAAACACCACTTTCACACATGAAATTCCTAGTCTGAGATTCAAATATATTGTTTATTTGACTCCTATTTTTTCCTATACCGTTGTCCGTTGATTGGATGCCAGTAGGACGATTTATCACATGGATTGATGCTGAAACAAGAAATTTAATTTACCAATAGGTTATTTATTTATTTACTGAACTTTATTGTCAGTTAGATTTGTGATAGTTACCTAAAACATAAATGAATTTGACTATACCTTACTGACAGAAGTGAGGGGTTGGTTATCTATAAATTCATACAATATAGGCCTACTGTATTTTTTTCATCCCAATGATCTGCTCTAACTATACATCATGAACCATGCTTAAATGTCTCTGCTCAGTGTTTCAACCTTATTTATATATGTTCTTGTTTTAATTGGAAGTTGACAACCTTCAATATATATATATATATATATATATATATATATATATATATATATATATATATATAGCATACTGGCTCTTCTAGCTTTTAGAGCGTAAAACAGTAATGGCTATACTGCAAAATCAGGTCTCTTTGATATGATATGTGCTGTGACAGATGGGTTTGACTCTGCTATGTTCAGATTAAGAGAGTGTGAAAAATCAAATCAATCAAAAATTCAATCAAAACACCCTGAAGCCTTTTTCTCAGATTAAGTGTTAGCGTAGTTAACACTAGCCTCTAGTCGGATACCCTATTTAAGGGAAATATGCACAATATGTGCATTATTTCAGGAGAATATATTTAAATACATACAAATATAATCAAGGTTTTCTCTAATTGTTGTGATTTGTGGTTGCTCCACTAAAAAGATTTTCTTTTAAGAATAGCAATCAAATTTGCGTATGACACAAAGACCAGCATTTGACAAACTCCTCCAAAAATGCACAGCATGTCAAGATCAACCTTCAGCTTTTCAATGCTGCACTTTAGCAATCAGAAGGCAGTGTAGCCCTTTCTGCCTGTCAAAAGGTAAAGGTTAAACCGTAAGCAAGATGAGTGATTTGACAAGCTGCTTGTCCGGACACACAGTACACCTGATCAGAGTGATGTTGACTATTTTTGCCTCCCCCTGCGTTTCTTTATTCCAAATCATCTAGCACCAAGAGGGGAAATGTTGTGTTTTTTGCTATTGAAGTAACATCAAACATTTTGTGGGCTTGACATCTATGGAAATGTTTTCTGAAAAGATTATAGACTAGCACATTGGGGAGAGGTTCAAACAGCACAGAATGATAGGTTTTTGCTGACAGGTTTAGACCAATCGTTTTTTTTTTACTCTGAATTTGAATGAGGGAGGAATGCCATATAGCAAATTACTTCTTCGAAATACAACTCTGCAATTTAGCAATTGCAAGATCACTGAGGTATAGCTTTCTAGAAACATAAAAAAAATTTTGATAGCATATTTACCAAGTATAATATTCTGTGAAAGTAACCTTGCTTTTACTGTGTTTTTGAATGAAAGATTTTAAGAGAACATATTCCTATAGAACAGTCATTCACAACCGGTGGGTTGTGATTCAAAAATGCATTTCAGATCTGTTTTGATAGTTGCAGATAAGAAGAAATGCAAATAATAAAATAATCAAACGAAATAAGGATAGCAAAATAGATTAGCTTTATTAACTCAAATGAGTATTTTTTCCATCTAAATTAGGCACATACCAATTGACATGTTGTGTGATTTGCCCTCATCCTCTAAAACCATGAAGAAAACTATGAAAGGTATAAGGTATGGCCTCAAACGCAATGGAGATAAACATGATTCGTGCCAACCAAAATGTTTTTGTGCAGAGAATTATTGGCAAAAAAACATTGAAATTCACGTTGTGTGATAAACAATTATGGTATTGGTGTTGGCGCCACTTGATGTCTAATCAGGTCTCTGAAACAAACCACCTTAAAGCCACTTATTTTAATACGCACTCTAGAGGCCATTTGGGTCATGTGATGTGTACAACATTTACCATTAAATAAATACCATTAATTCTTCATAAGTATGTCTTTCTGTTATGCTAATCTAATTTGATTCATTGTGTCCTCAAGGAATGAAGGTTGTGGAATTGTCAGATGACCCAAGTTCACTGTCCCCTCTCGCTGTTCTTCCAAGTGTGAACTATCAAATCATCAATGCAGACTATCTTCTTCTCAGAGAGACAAGTCAGGATGTAATGGACAACTCCAGCCTACGGGCACAAAGGCAACCTTTCATCCTCACTGGACTGAATGGCCAGCCGGCAATCAATGTCAGCTATGGTCCCATGTCTTTGGAGCAGTCTATACCACTGCATATGATCCACACTGGCCCCAGGATCCGACCATTTATTCTGGCCCGTCAAGTACGGTCATCTACACCTGCCTTGTATGTGTTGTTTTATGCGACCGGTAATAGGGATGATATAAGTGAAGGGCCGATCCAAAACGTCCCAGGGCAGAATGAAGTAGGGTACGTTTGTGTTACAGCATACGCCTTCTGGGAATCCAGGGAGATCAAGGACAGCTGCTCCATCTCGGCAGATGGTGGCTTCTGCTTGGTGCACCTGAAGCCCGAGTCAGCGTGGTTCAACCCTGGAGGTGGCAGGTCGAGCTGGGAGCAGAGAGGTGATCAAAGAGGAAATGTTGCTGAACTTTACTACCAGATTAGACCCAGTCCCAGTGGACAGTGTGTCCCACAAGAGAGCAAAATAAGAAGGGGTCCACAGCATGGTGACCCGGGACGGCAGATCTATGGAGCCTCCATGAAGAGGATTGGGACTGTAAACCTCCTGCGATCACCTCCAGGAAACCCCACGTTTATGCGCTTGCGCCTCGGAGGAGCCGTAATCATCCAGACGTCCTCGAAACCACTGAAGACCACAGACACCGCCACTTTCTACGTGTTCCTATCAAGTACATCACCGGTTGAACATTTCATACTCAGGTAGGTTGATTTCATCTTATCTGCCAATTTATTTAAAGGGATAGTCACCTAAAAATCATTTACTCGCCTTCTTGTTGGTTGTTTGTTGATCTATCCCTCTAATGAGAATGGATGCATGCATTTTAAAGTAAAGAAGCTTATATATACAAAATATAGCAAAAACAAATGTCTGGTAGATTTAACCTGACTTTTTAGGCTATAATAATTTTCTGCTGCTATCTGGAATTCTGCCACAAATCTGTACACACAATGCAATAAGACCAATGCAAACAGAAATTGGATTTACCCTGTTCAGGATTATATGGTTTTCTCAGAAGGCACAACAAATGTCAACTGTTTTCCTGGAAGAGACTTTTTGGTCAGATGAAGAGGAGTTGCATTGGGGATTGAGATGTCCCATTTGGAATAGAAGTGTGGGACAGTGCCAACAGATGTGTCAAACGCCCAAGAAGCTTAGCTCGAATTTAACAAGTATGCTACACTACAGTCATGCCACTTTATAGCCGACAGAATGTAACGGTCCCACTCAGTATACAGATTACCCAAATGTAATAACCTTGTGCCGGCTCAATTCACTTTTCCAACTGGAGGAGTTTCAAAGGCACTCTTCCATAAATGGCAAAATAATGGGGAAATTATTTGGCTGCATTCATTTCTTAACTTTGCATTATTTGTGTGGCTTCTCTCCCCATAAATAATGCATCAACTTAATGGAGCAAGAAAACAAATACCTAATAACTACTTGAGTCCTTTGGGCAGAAGTGAACATATTACAGCAAGAGCTCTATCGAACAAAAACACACTGCAATCAATTTTTCCTAAGTCTAACCCCACATCAATAGAGAAAGAACAAATAAATGAGTGAAATTGCTTTTATAGGCAATTTTTCTGGACCAAAGGTATTTTTCTTTTTCTTAGAAGTTTGCATGCGACATGAACTTAGAAGGCAAATTAAACTGTTGGGAAAGATTTTAATCGAGAACTGATGTGGTAAATCGTATTCTGATCCATATTGTAAGACACTAGTCCAAATAGAGTAGTTGAATTTAGATTTTCTTTAGACAATATGGTTTGATAGACTTTTAGACTGATTTGATACTTGAGGTGCTTTCACACTTGGTTCAATTGCCTGGTCTGAACTCGAGTTCGATTGCTCCCCCTCCCCCTGCCCCCGCTGGATTGTGTTCACATTATATTATTTGGGTCCGAACTGAACCATGCTGCGTTTGCATGATCAAAGCAACAGCTGTTTACCCCTGTTGCATGGTAATGACAATGCAGGAGAAGGCGGCAAAATGCATAGTATTGCTCACCTCACCTCACATTTATATTTTGGTTTTTGAAGTGTGTTGGTTTTAAACCTTTGGCTTTGTGTTCAAAGCGTCAGCACATAATGGCGGCACATGCGTCTATCTGCCACGAATGTACGGCAAATATTCTAAAGAGCGCGGGAGCACATATACATTCTTTCTGCTTGCAGTGTGTGAGTCACGCTTGTCAGGAAAATGAGTGCGACGCACACAAACACAGTTTTTTTTTAATCAGACGTCATCAATAGAGGTTCACATCAGCAGCGAACTGTACCGGAGTTCACATGAACCTTTTTGATGCAGACTTGGGTACAGTTCGTGGGTGCTCACTCGAGTTCTGAAATCAGAGTTCACATCATCCAAACTCTGGCCAAAAGTTCTAGTGTGAAGTCTCCCTTTGAATTGTGCTGGTTATTTTGGGTAGTTGAGAAATCCTACTTCTGAGATATACATTTGACCGGCAGCTAAGCCCCATATACCACCTGAGCCCCCAATATCCTTGCGGCTCTTCGCTCGGTTCTGATAGGGTTTACTTTGCCCCCGGCCCTGGCTCAAATGGACATTCGCTTTCAGTGTTAGCAGTAAAGTGAGGTAAAGGCTAGAATCCAGAAGAAATTGATTTTATCCAGGGAAAAATCTCTGCCCCACTTCACTACTCTCTCCAAGATTGAGTCCAGACCCCTGAGGTTATGATAGATAATCCACACGCTGATTGAAAATTAGTGAAGTCTTTAACCCTTCAGAGATTTTCTATCTTTTTACCAGAAAGTTATTTCAACTGGAGGCTATCAAGACTACATAGTCTAGTTCAGACTTCCATCAGACATCACAAGTTATGGAGTGCCTTGTCCTGTGCAGCTCAACAAACAGGATTTCTAATACAAAAAAAAAAAAAAAAAATTGGAAAATAACTTTTATTTAAAATTATTTTACACCACACAGAATACACAGGGTACACACTTATTTATTGTTGTTTATTAGAACAGTGTTTGTTCTATCAAAACTATTCCATTCTAATTTATTCTATTCTGCTACTTAACAAATCATTAATCTATAAATAAAATAATTTTTAAAATAGAATGATTGATTAATGAATGCAATGAAGTGGTTCTTTTTCTGTTCTGCTTAACGGATTATTCATATAGATCTATATAGTTAGAAATGTTTTGTTTCTACCATATATTTCAGTTGACAAACTATTGACCCTAGCATTATGTAATATTAGGCCGTGAGACAGACGGTTGATTGGTACCATTTTGAGGGATTAAACCGCATGGTGATTTTTGTGTAGGTATATGACCCTGTATTTGAAAAATGTGTGATAGCATTAGATTCAAGGTAGTTTTTGGTTACGGAGGATGATTTTCAAACATATGTCAAGAAAAAGGATAAATTAATTTATTTATCTTTAAATGAATCTTAAATTGTATACATTTTTTATGAAATTTTATAAATTTTTATAATAAAAAAATCATCATTTTTTTAAATACATTTTTAAAATTATAAAAGGATAAATTTTTCTCTCTTGTAGTCACTGAACACCTTACCTTGAGGTAGGATGATATAAGTGTTGATTTCTAATGAAAGCTACCATGGATCGGATGCTATCACACATTTTCCAACACTAGAGATGTTTACCTTCATGAAAATCAAAAAGAAATTTAATCCCTCAAAATTGTACCTGTAGCCCAAATTTGGGGTCCCGTCTCATGGCCTACATGTATTATAAAATATATTACCTAATAATGAATGTTATTATGAAATCTTTCTATTTCTATTCTGTTGTCTGCTAATTAAATTACATTTATACATGTTTTGTTTTTCATTTTTGCATAAAAATATGCATTAATATGTTTTATAAAAATATTGCTCAGAGTCATTAATGAAAATTATTATGTAAATGTAATCAAAATATTATTTATTAACAAACTATTATATTATTAACAAACTATTAATCTGTTAAGCATTAGTTAATATTTTTATTATACTGTATTATATTGTATTAATATTTCTTATTAATTAATATGATGAAGTGATTCTATTCTACTGGTTAACAGATCATTAATGTACATTTATGTACTGTAGATAAATGTTTTGTTTCATTCATATATTTGAATAGACACAACAAAATCTGCAATTCTATGAATCTGTTAAGCATTGCATTTCACACATAATATCACCTATTCTATTCTATTCTTTTCTATTCTATTCTGTATTTTATCCTGCAGGCAGCACCATGCAGCTCCACATCAATATTCGTCTGTCTTTGATTTTGTGTCAGAGATTTATTCCATCAAGATCCTCATTATAGATTTGACTGAATTCTTTTGTCACTCATGCATACAGTGTTTCTTTCCCTGGCGCTCTCTCTTTTTCTCTCTCTTTCTTTCTTTTTCTCTCTCTTTCTTTCTTTTTCTCTCTTTGTATTGCAGTTTCTTTTTTCCTTATTTTCCTCTCAAGCTTTCATTGTTTCTCTTCATTTCCCTGGAATTAAAAATGTTTGGATTATCCAACCCAGGGCGTCATCCGTCTCTAAAAATGGCATGCCTGCCCTGAAGATGATGACAATACAAAATGGGTCAAGACAGACTCTGATCCCTCTCCCTTAAGTCCCAGGGGTTGACTGGTGCTATCCCAGAGATCTACATGCGACGTGAACTGATATCAGCAGTGATATCATGTATTTCTGCTCAATACCAGATACAAGTCATGTGTATTTATCGCACTATGCATTCTGTGAAATAATCAGTAACACTTTACAATAAGGTTCATTAGTTAACATTATGTATTAACTGAGCAACATAGTCATGAACTAACAATGAGCAATACATTTGTTACAGTATTTATTAATCTTTGTTAATATTAGTTAATAAAAATACAGCTGTTCTTTGTTTGTTCAAGTTAGTTCACAGTGCATTAACTAATGTTAACAAATACAACTTCTGATTTGAATAATGTATTAGTAAAGTTGAAAATAATGTTAACTAAGATTAATAAATGCTGAAGAAGTTCTGTTCATGTTAACTAAGGTAGTTAACTAAGTACCCTTATTGTAAAGTGTTACCAAATAATAATTTAAATGCACATCTGCATGTTTAAATAAATGCACAGGCTCATTGTGCACATTGCTAATGAATCATATCCGCTGCATGACAATCTGTTGTTTTTGAGGCAGAATTGAAGTGTGTGCCGTGAAACAGAAAGAAAAGAAATGGATGAGGGGTTTAGGAAAGATAATGCAGTGTGTCACAACGCTGTCAGCCGCTCTCATTCTACTTCTCCCACCGTGACCTGTTTCCTCTATGGCTCCACTTCCCGAGACGCCTGACTCCAGCACATGTCTGGGAGATTCTCACGTGGCAAGATTCCACGGTCTCTAAGTCCCATCAGTGGAGACGAGGGACCGGCGAACTGTCTGGCTGGTGGATAAAGCCGAGAGATACAGGGGAAAAAACAGAGGAGAAAAGAAGCATTTGGCTCTGTCTTTAAACTGAATGGTGGACATGTGGTTGTGTTGGCCCAAGCCAAAGGAGAGAAAGAGATTAAATTCTCTAGAGCGGCAAACTCGCTCTACACCCTTGATGAATACAACATTGTTAAATGTGCAATCGCGCAAGATTTATATCTGGCAAGTGAAACGGGGAATTGAGAGTCGTGCCGGCTGACCTCAACCCGTGGTTAGCACTAGCAGGTCTTACGAACAGGATTTATATCTCCTTCGACAACCATTAATGTGTTTGTACATGTTTGTTTATTTATTTTTTATATAAATGTGGCCATGAGCCAGGTTGAATGGAAAGGGATGTCAGTGCAGATGGGCTTGAGATGTGTTGGTTTTCTGTCCATCAGAGAGGTGAAAGTTTTCCACCTCAACCTTTCATTGCGCAGGTCAGCCTCTTTAACACACACACTCTCTAGCAAACATTCAGTTTGTACTGGACATGTTCATTGTAACATACATGAATGTTTACTGTGTGAGCCTGTGTGCATTTTTCATTTCAGTATTGCCAAGAGGGTCATAATTATTATACTTTTTTTTTTTTTTTGTAGTTACATAAAAAGTTAGATTGGCCTAATTTGAATCTGAAAAGTTAGACTGATTAGGTCTAACTAATTTCTAGTCTTATAGTGGATTTATGCAACTGGCCCCTGGTCGAGTTTGTACAGCATCTTATCCAGATTTTTTTTTTGATAAATATCCTTTAAAGAACAAAGCCAAATATACATTCTGCTCGTGGATGTTGAGATTATTTGATAAATTGTGCTTCAAATCTTCAAAATTATGCTAATCTGGAACATTTTGGCAAATTGAATCCTCAAGAGTTCATTACACTACCGTTTAAAAGTTTGGATCAGTAATTGACAACCCCCTTGACCTGCAAGACATTTAGATTTTTTTTAATGAAAATAATTAAACAGAGGCATCAGTAAACTATTATAGAAAGTTTATTAACACGCATTTAAGTGAAGTCTGTGAAAAAAATCGAATCAAAACATGTACAAAGTTATTCAACCCCCAAAAGTAAAATTTGGTGCAGAATCTTTTATCCTTTGTAACCTCCAATAAACGCTGCAAGTGCTTAGAAGCTTCTGTCACCTCTCTACTGCAATCTTGGCTCATTCTTCGCTTGAAAAGGCTTCCAGATCACTGATAATCTCTGGTTTTCACGTTACCACTGCTTTCTTCAAATTCCATCAAGACTGTACAGGCCACTTAAGAAATTTCTACGACTGATCCCTGAACCAAGTTTAAGTATATTTGGATGTATACTTTGGGATGGATGTCCTGCTGGAAAGTCCATTAATCATCAAGCTTCAGTCTCTGCACCGAAGGCATCGCCATCTTTGCCAAAATGGCTTGATACTTCAAAGAATTCATGATGTCCTTCATACAGTCAAGATTTCCACTACCTGCAACTGCAAAGCATCCCATATCAAGATGGGACCACCTCCATGTTTGACCATGGAGATGGTGTTCTTCTGCTCATAAGCTTTACCTTTTTTGCATCAGACATACTGATGATCCATATAGGTCCAAATAGTTCCAGTTTGGTCACATCACTCCATAAAACATAATTCCAAAACTCCACAGGTATATCCAAATGAATTTCAGCATATTCAGTTTGGCTTTTAATGTTCTTCTTGGTCCAGAGTGGCCTTCGGCAAGACGTCCCAACATGAAGGTCATGCTTGTTTAGTGTTCTTCTTATACTCTGCATTGAAATGTTTTTTTCCTCCTTTCATCAGATCATCTTGCAAATCTTTGCAGTAAATTGAGTTTTTTTCTCAGTTGCTCTGATCAAACATTTTATTCCCCTTAATGATATTGTGCTTTTTCTTCAACACCCTCAAAGGTTTTCTGGTTCAACAAATTTGAAACTTATGAATAAGGCTGCCAGTTGTGTCTCTAGAAACTTTTAGTGTTTTGGAAATCTTCTTTTTGCCATAGACTTTCTAATGTAATAAAACATAGCTTTTGTGAGAGCTCTTTTGACTTGGCCATTTTGCTACTCAACTTAAGCACATGCATGGGCTAAATGTATGTATGTGTAACAGCACAAGCTACCTCAGTTTTATTATAGAGTTTCCAAAGGCTTAATTGTGTTTCAACACAATTTTGTACCATACCATAGAAATAATTGACTTCAGAACAGCAGCTTTGAATAGGAGTTGAATAATGATGACATAGCTGTATTACAAAAAAGCCTACATATCTCAAAAGCATTACATTACATATCGACATTATCACTTTTGATTTGACACTAAACTGTTATAGATGCAATAAAAAAACCGGTATCTTTAAAAAAAACCTTACATTTGTAAATTATTAGTCTCTGGGGGGTTGAATAATTTTGATTGCAACTGTATAAGGTTAGAAAATACTTTTTGTTTCAAATAAATGGTGTTTTCATCAAATCTGTTCAAAGAAGTCTCCAGAAAAAATATATCACAGTTTTAATGGTTTAATTGAGTATTGAAATATTAAGCAGCACAACTGTTTTCAACATTGATGATAATAATATTTCTTGAGCATTAAATCAGCATATTAGAATGATTTCTAAAGGATAATTTGACACTGAATACTGGAGTTATGATGCTAAAATGAATTCAGCAAAACTTGGAAAAAATACATTTTTTTTTTATTCCATTCCATATTTTAACATGAAAAACAGGTATTTAAAATTGTAATAATGTTTCACAATATTACTGTTTTTACTGTATTTTTGTCCAAACAAATGCAGACTTTGAGCGCAAGAGAGTTCTTTTAAAAACATAAAGTCTTATCAACCCCAAACGTTTTAATAAATGTTACTGTATTTTTGATAAAAAAAAGATTACTTGGTGAGACTTCTTACTGACCTTAAACTTGAATGGTAGTGTATAACTGTACCTGTGTAATTGTAAACACAATTTGATTTTCTAGTTTTTGCCTAATGCAAGTTGTGTAGCACCAGCCAGTAAGATTGCAACTGACTATGACCTCACCTTTTGTGTGCAATATGCTTCAGGCGTTCAGTAAGCAGACTGTGGGCGTCCGCCTGAGGCTGAGACCTTAACATTGATGTCATCCGTGTGTTTGTGTGTACTTTCTCACAGAGCCACATCCAGAAAAGGCATGTCATTCAGCACAGCCAGACCCAGCGACGCGCACCTGTGGGACATCACTCTGGAACCTGGGAGAGGAAGTGACGCCCAAACCATCTCTGTGTCCTGCCAGAAGAAACGCACATTTGCTAGCAAAAGGCAAGCCCTCGCTGCATCACCTTCGTCGTTCTTAGAAACCACTCAGCCGCAGACTCTCCCTAGCTCACATTTCAAATGCATTTCATTGCTAAAATGCTTTTTTCTGCCCTTGCACATTGCCAGATGGGGTCTGTTTCCTCTGAAACTATGAGAATTAAGTGACAGATTGCAAAATTATTTTTTGACAAAAAAACCCAGTCTTCTAATTTCTTCCCCCCCACTCATTGTTCAGGTACTAACAGATGTTCAGGCAACCTGTTCGCCTTTCGCAGGATGGTATTTTGAATGAAAATTAAAAACCATCTTTTTCTGGTTAAAAGGTGCAGTTTAGCTGCGTTTAACCTGTACAGACACTTAGCTTCAGAGGAAAACTCGCCACATTGCGATTTCATGATTAATGGCACACATCAATTCTGTAACGTAGGTATTCGTGTGGAAAACGACTGAAAATAACTTCATAAAAATGTGTTGTCTTTCCATCACCTCAGCTGCTGGTATCCACAGAAAACGCACAACTCCTCCACTGTTATTAAGAAGAATGAGCTTTGAGTTCATATTACCTCTGTGCATCTAAGCAGGGGAGCGATTGGCTTGGATTTCATATAAAGGGTTTTGAGTGTTTTTGGATCCAATTCAAAAATGCGTCTTGAAAACTGTGAGCATCTTATTAATAAGAGCCTCCATCTGGGTGTCATATTTCTCTTGGTCTCATTGATTCTTGTTCGGTGTCCATGGCAATGGGTTGTCATTATTATTGCAGATTATAGTGTGTATCATGTACTATACTATAACAGCATACTACTGTATATGCATGTACTAGTTCTATAGCTAGCATCTTGTAATAGACTGCACACTAAGAATGTTTTTTGTCAATTTTGAAGATCTCCCTCCGCCCATCATAGATGGTTTCAGATTTACAGGAATCAAAAGGGATATCACTCTTATGAATACTTGATTTATTATTTAATTTTATTATTTTTAAAGACTCCATTCAATTTAAATGGGAGTTTTTATTCAATGGATGTTAACTTTGAAGTCATCTAATGTACTGCATTAAATTGGCAAAATAATCTTGTTGCAGATTTTGAAGCACTGTTCAAAAGTTTGGGGTTGATAAGATTTTTTTACAATGTTTTTGAAAGAAGTCTCTCACACTCAACAAGGCTGCATTTATTTGGTCAAAAATAGAAATATTTTGAATCATTATTATAATTTAAAATAACTGTTTTATATTGTAATATAGTTGAAAATAGAATGTAATTTATTCCTGTAATTGTGAAGCTGAATTTTTTTCAGCATTATTACTCCAGTCTTTAGTGTCACATGATCCCTCAGAAATCATTCTGATATGCTGATTGGTGCTCAACAAACATTGCTTCTTATTATCAATGTTGAAAACAATTGTGTTGCTTAATATTTTGGGTGACAGCATTTATTTGTTCTTGAAATCATTTCTAACATTATAAATGTCTTTACTTCTTTATTGTCACTTTTGATCATTTTAATGCATCCTTGCTGAAACATTTTTAAAAAAAATTTTTTTAAGTTACTGACCCCCACATTTGGAACAATAATGGACTAAAATGTTTGATTACTCATCTTGCGCTTATACGTATCAGTATTGTACAATCCTGCCTCACCTTCTCGTTTTAACAGGAAACTAGTACAGAATCAAAATCTCCTGAGCTAAATCCATTTCAATCGTTAACTGAATCATGTGGTTATATGATGTTGATTATATCGTCTTTTACACTGCTTTGAAACTATAATAGATCAAACCCTTTACAACATGGGTGTTGTCACCAGCTGCCCTTCAGCAAGCGGTATATCCTGACTACTTTCTCCGGAGCCCTTATTTCCACGTTTTACAGCGACGGCCCACTTTACTTTAATCATCCTTGGTGCATCAGTATGTTAGACCAGCTTAAAGACCAGCACGTTCTGCAAGATTAGAACAGAGGTCTCCACATTAACTAGTGAAGAGCCGAATGGAGAGGATTCCACTGCATTAGAAAACACTTAATACAGCATAACGATGATGGGACATGTCTCATGCACTTGACCTTTCACCCCTGATGACTTAACAATGGTCTTTATTGATATATACACTGTATATATATATATATATATATATATATATATATCACTTTATTGTCATTTAAGACAATAATATAAAGGAATGGGGAGTTTTGAATCAAATCTCGAAGGATGTGTCCACTCTGAGGAAAAGCTTTTTACCCCTTTACGATGCTTTCAAAAATTCCTTTACTGTGAGAGTTACTGCATGCCATATAGAAATGCATGAACCACTGTATAAGAAGTTGTAGAAAAGTTAGATTTTTGCCTTTCTGTTAGTTATATAAAAGCACTTTATCAAAGCAAATTCCAGCTGAAAGGCCTGTTGTGAGCTGAATAATGCTCCTGCGATGAACCTACTGATACGCTCATTAGAATGCTGAGTGTTTTAATGCTACTGAAGTGGATTAGATGCTCCATCTCTCCTGATAACTGATTGTGCTTTCATTATTAAGATTCCACACCATCCTCTTTGACTCAATATGTCTCTGTTGTCCCAGGAAGCGAATTTAAGCCACTTGGGAACTGACTGTGTTCTGATGTTTTATTTACAGAGGTCTGCTGGAGGTCTTGCAACTGGACTTTGAGACAGAGGAGCAGAGTGACCAGTTAGAGAGCCAGATGATCACGTGGCGACTGGAGCTGCCTGGAAACATGATACGGGATGAAGGGACCATGAGGATTTACACTATTCAGAGAGACTATGTGGGAATAGCACCTCTGATCACGGTTGGGAATGTTTGTTTTTACCTTCGATCAACTTGTGTTATGATTACATGGAACCTTTTTAGAAATGATTGATCTCTCTCTATACAATGACAGCTTATAGTGCAGGATCCCCCCACAGTTATAGGAAACCTGGAATTATCTGGGAATTAAATTTTCTGTTATATAGAGGAAACACAAACATAAATAGAAATATATATTTATAGATAAATACAAATATATATTTTTTTTATACAAACTATCATTGTTTGTAAAGCTCTATGTAAAGTTATTTTAAAATTGTGAAGAAAAAAACTTGGAATGACATGTGGGTGAATAAGTGAGAGAATTGTAATTTTTTTGGTTGATCTATCCCTTTAACTTGGCTAAGGTTTTATGAGGTCACGATGTCTGTGAAACGTGGACATGAAATCACATTGGTGTGACAAGTATTTGTCATGCTTTGTGTAAAAACCTTTGACTATAAAGCTACAATGACAGGCTAGCCTTTATAAATGATTTATGTGTCTTTGTTCTGTCTGTGTGTTTTTGTGAGTGTGTACGTGTGTTAATTGTCCAGCGGCGCAGTGCCACTTCTTTCACCCTTTGATCTCTTCCTCCAGTTGGTCACACTACTGCAGAATATACCCTAACGAAACTGACATTCGTTTAATGAGGACATGCACATAATTCCCAAAGCCATCCACATGCAGTCCTTTTGCAAGTTCACCAGCATTCATTAAAATATAAAAATATAGCTTTTTTTAGACAAATAAAACCAAAAGAGATTGTGACAATTCATTGATATCAAGCGTCCATTTTACGGCTAGCTGCCAGATCTATTTACTGGAACGGTCTATTTCACAGCATGACCCTGTCTCTGAAATAACACCGCCATAAGAGTGTGGGATTTTGCCGGTAACTTTTCAAATCAAAGTCAGCATCTGTTGTGTTGCGTTTGGAGGATGCTCGTGGACATCTGTTGGGTCTAGAAGTTAAATCTACGCTCAAACCCAATCATCCTAGTGTTCGTCATCACAGTGGCACACTGTAAGATAATCATTAGGGTATTAAACTCAGACAGAGCTTGTCTGATCCACGATTGTTGCCTTGACATTTTTGACCCGTTTAAGATTTTCCTCGCCACCAAAAGGAGATTAAGCTTATTAGATGATGAGAATGCTTGTTCTTAGTATTAGCCTATTTATTTCTTTTTAAAGTGCATCGGATTTCTTCCATATGTACATACTTCAGTTCTAATTAGGCATGGGACACTGTGAGATTTACATACATTTAAGTTTTTTGGATGCTTTAATTAGTGTGCTGTTAAACAGTTTGCACAGTGAAACGCTGTCTCTTCAAATATAACTCCTTTAAAGCACTACAGCCATACATATTCAGACGGAAGTCTTTGGCCGTTGTTTTCTGGACTCAATTGGGATTGTTTTTGCTGTCTAGTTGGACCAGTAATTAAGACTTTTTTTCTACCCTGCCTGTCAACATTTTCTCGACCCCAACAATAAAAATGGGTTCCATTTTTTTGTTTAGCAAAATATGTAGCAAAGTTTTTGGTACAAATATTTATACATATTTTTTATATTTTATATTTTCATTATAATTACTTTTTCTTTACAAATACAATAAGCTGGAAATTATACATTATATAAAATAAAACCATAAATTCATAAACACTTTTGTTGGAAAACAATTGTATATGCCAAACATTACTGATTGGTATGTAGTTTTCATCAGATTATTACAGATGTATTTTAATCATATTTGTGCATATTCAACAAAAACTCATATTTTAGATCATGTTGTGATGACAATTCACAGTGGGTTGAGGGTAACACTTTTTTTTTTATGGTACTTTTAAACATTCTGCTGACTATAAGTAGCGTTGTACCTACATGTCAACTACATCTCATTAGAGAATTAGTAGACTGCTTAATATTTGCTAACTTTATTTTGATGGTCCCCCAACATTCTACAGACTATAAGTAACTTTGCAAGTACACGTCAACTTTTTCTACTAACCCTAACCCTTCCCTCTACTAATACTCAACTAATACTCCAATAAGAGTTAGTTTTCATGTTGGTGCAACGTTATTTATAGTCAGCAGAATGTTTAAAGGGGACCATCAAAATAAAATGTAACCCAACAATGTAGAATACATGACAGATAACCAAAGTTTGCAACTTTAAACCTTTTTTTCTGAGCATGTCAATTTTGAAAATGTAGTTTTGCACGTCTTTAGTGCTAATTGAGTGCTCTTTGTTGTGCTTTTCCAGGACACGGAGCTCCTCAACACAGCCGTGCTCACTGGTAAGAGGGTTTCTGTGCCTGTGAAAGTGTTGGGCGTTGAGGCTGATGGCTCCATCACGGACATCACTAACTCTTCTCGCTGCAGGTCTTCAGACCAGGATGTCCTGAAGGTAATGCATGTCAAGGTCAGGCCACTTTTGACAGCTTCAGCAATCTCACACTCTGTGTGCTTCCTATTAGCAGCCTTACTGTGCTTCTGAATGACATGTCTATTAGAACTGGGAGAGCACAGAAGAGAGGGGTCAGTGGAGTCGGCTTAGATGGCCACCACTTCCTAGTTCCTCACCAAAAAAGAGAAAAGCAGGAGGGTGACAGACGTTGACCCGAAAAACCTCAGTGAACTTGTGTTTTTTACCCAAAGCACATCTGTGCTTCAGACACCTGTCTTTTTTTCCCCTGCGTATTATGAAGAGCTTGAGCCCTTTGTTATTGCCAGGTCATTCTCTGGGGCATTTCTTCTTAAGTGGTTTTGCCTCAGGACCAAGATCTTGTATTGGACACACAGTACCAAAATTGTTTATCATACAAAAGTAATCAAAAATATCCGTACATCCAAAGAAATGTATTAATATTACCATAATCTGCATAGGCCCAGCAACAGACCTCGCTAGATGAGAGCCGTAGCCTTAGCCCTCATTGAACTTGTTTTCTTTTCTTTTTTTTTTTATCTGTGCCCTAGACATCTGTGCCTTCTTTTTTGCATGCTTATTATGAAGAGTTTGAGATCTTTTTACTATTGCTGGATCATTCTCTGGAGTTTTTCCACCTAAAACACTGGCGCTTTCACTGAGAGTTTCTGAAGATGTAAAAACGAATCTCCAGTGCCCCCCTGAGCTTGTCTTCTCAGGGTTAAGCCTTAAAACATAAATGGAGGGACTCTGACTTATTCATTGGTAAAACACAGACAAGGAATGACTGCACACATGCACACAAACCCATGCATTGTCATGTTTCCTTATTACACATGCACACCTTAACTGCATCCACCCCATGAATAAATTAATTTGCCTTGAACACAAAGGGGAAGTGCAGGAGTCTCTTTTTTGTTGTCTTGAAAAGATTTTTATGGCACAGAGTTTTCAGACCACGTGCCCTGTGGTTTATAAATTAGTCTTCAAAGTACTGGGGATGAATGAAACAGTGATACAACAGTGCCCATAGATTTTCCTAATGAGACAGAACAATGTACACAGGGCCCATTACCTTATACCACACTGACGCTCATGTCTGCATAACCATAAGGAATCTTTATCTTTTTATATTTATTTACATTTATTCCTTTAGCAAGCGTTATATGCCACACCACAATAATTTATCCAGTAATATAAGACTCAATAATACAAGTTCTACAATACAACGTTCAGGGAAACAATAGAGTCGATTTTTTTCTAGGAAGTACTGGTAATTTTGTATCTTGTTGCGATGGTACCATGATGCACGACTCACTGTAGAAATTTGGAAGGGAACACTGACTTGCAAAAATTGTTGTAGTGATATAGGAAGCTATTGTCAGCTAGTGGAGAAACGCAAAGAGAGCAGTGAACGAAAACCCATTTATTGATTGATTTATTGAAGACAAATTTCTAGTTTAACTGTGAATACTGGAAGCCCGGACAACAGAAGCTGTGCAGCATGCTCTTGCAGATTTTATAGGAGGCATCACGAAGCGCTCATAGCAAAGTAAAGCTGGTCAAAAATCAGTAATGGCATCCAGATAAACCAAGGAATCGTTGAGTCTAGTTGAATGTGGCCGGTGGTGATGACAAGGAGCTCTAAGGATAGTTCACCCAAAACTGAACATTTTGTCATGATGGAGCTATTGAATTTGTTTTTTTTTTTAAACCTGTCAAACTACACTAAACAGAAATGAACTTAAAATGCTATTTCCACACACAGGTGTCTGAGAGGTGTGATGCTGTGTATGTCAACGGCAAGGAGACGCGTGGGAGAGTTCGGACGATGGTGAACTTCACCTACAGTTACCTGAGCACACAGCTGGAGGTGAGCGTGTGGATGCCTCGACTCCCCCTGCAGATGGAGATATCTGATCCAGAGCTCAGCCAGATCAAAGGCTGGAGAGTTCCTGTCACTGGGAACAAAAGGCAAGTGACGAGTATAATCAGTAGCACCTCATTGCAGTACACGAGATCTAGGGGGTGGAGTTGGATCCAGATCTAAGGGGTGGAGATGGGTAGGATTAGGGGTGGGATTAGGGATCAGGGGGTGGAGATGGGTAGGTTTAGGTATATGTAAGGTGGTAGGAGTTGGATCTGGATCCAACTCCTCCCCCTGGATTTCGTGTTCAGCAGTGAGGACCATCTCAGTATAATTCCAATCTAACACAATGTCCCAACAAACTTCATAAGGTTTACATTGTTGGTATTTTTTGTCAACATTTAACCATTTTAGAACCATTTAGCAGTTGATCAAATGTACAATAACATACATTAATGTACATCTAAATACATTTAAATTGTGACAAATATTAGTAAGTAACATATTTAAATCTGTATCAGAGAATTTGATAAGTGAAATAAATATAAAAAGTAGTTGATTTGTTACTAAATATTATTTATTTGTATTTCAACAGTCAGGAATTCAGGAAGTAGTTTACTTTTATTTCCCCATAATAGTATGATTATAAATATATGAGTACAATTCCTATTTTGAATTATCTCAGATATTTAAAGCTTAAAACCCTGCTTTTATAGATAGATAGATTAGATAGATAGATAGATAGATAGATAGATAGATAGATAGATAGATAGATAGATAGATAGATAGATAGATAGATAGATAAATGTATAAATGTATTTTCTTAAAAAAAGGTTTTAATTATTAAAATTTATTTTGTGTAATTTATATTGTGACTAGTTCTTAAATTTTAAGTTCTTTAATTGCGGTGTGAATTTTAGTTCCTCAAACTAGCTCAAAACTTTTATATTTGAGGTTTCATCTCATATGGACTTTTTCCACTTGTTCCGAAGTGTTCTTATTAGAATAGAGAATGTTTTCCGCAGAGATATCCTGGCAGTTTTCATTATACCTTCATTGTAAGGTAGAGATGAGAGATTATTATAAATTGATTATAATTAATTATTATAAATAAATAAATATGGGTTATTTCCTTAAATTTGACAAATGTAATTTTTTTTATTATTATTAATAATATTTATTTTATTGTCCTTTTTTGGGTTGTTAATAGAGTTTTTATGCGTAATTTATATTGTGAATAGTTCTTGAATTTTGAATTCTTGAGTTGCGGATTTTTATTTTCTCATTTTCTTTTTTTTTTTCTACTAGCACGTTTTCTTATTACTATAGAGAATGTTTTCCACAGAGATATCCCGGCAGTTTTTTGACATTGCAGAGACTTTCATTATAATGTAGAGATGAGCGATTGCTGAGCCTAGTCAAATAGGAGATAGCAGAAAAAAATATATAGAGAGCAGGAGAGTGAGGAAAAGAGTTGTTCATCTTTTCTCTGCATGTTTCTCAGGGTGAGCTGGGACACAGAGGAAGAGGATGAGAGGAAGGGCCGAGGCTGCATGCTGCAGTATCAGCACAGTTTGATTCGAGTGCTTACGGTCTTCACCGCAGACTCGCCAGATCCAAGCAGCCCATCTCCCGCATACTTCCTCGGCTCTGATTGGCAGGTGGATGTGACGCGGCTGGTGCGCTACTTTCTGAGAGTTGAGGAGACGAGTGTTGCACGCCTGCAGGCAGGAAGTGTTCTGACAGGCAAGGCTGTGGGAGTCACCACTGTGCAGGTAATGCTGATAATGACAGAGCCGCCCGCAGCTGTCAGTGTTACACCATGCTCATTATTCATTAAGACAATAAAGTTTAGTGTGTGTTTATTATCATTGACAATACAGACAGCTTGTAGATGAATTGCTTTTTTTTTTTTTTTAAATTGTAAAACAAATAAATGTCATATGATGCCATGCTGGGTTTGGTTTCTGTTGTCCAGGTGATGTCTCCATTGTCTGACTCGGTTCTGGCTGAGAGGATGATCCGGGTTCTGGATGATAAAGTCAGTATAACAGAGCTGGGTGTGCAGCTGGTCTCTGGCCTTTCCCTGAACCTCCAGCTCAGCCCAGGAAGCAACAGGGCCATTGTTGCCAAGACAACTACACAGGAGATCATACACTACCCCAAGCAGGTAATTCATGTAGCTACATTGGCTGTCAATCTTATTAATGGAACTATATGCTGATCAATCAAAATGCAAATAATTGCATATATAAGAGACAAGAGAAAATCCCTACAAAAAATAATTCAAAGAAATAATTATGGTGGTTGACAAGTAAATATTTAATAGAATAAGGGGCTTTAAATGTCAATATATTGTCTATTTCCATATCAAGGAAAATAAGCTTATCACGGGCATATGTGACCCTGGATCACAAAACCAGTCACAAGTAGCTCGAGTATATTTGTGGCAATAGCCAACAATACATTTTGTGGGTCAAAATTATCGCTTTTTCTTTTATGCCAAAAATCATTATAGTATATTAAGTAAAGTAAAGATGATGTCCCATGAAGACATTTTGTAAATTTCCTACTGTAAATATATAAAACATTTATTTTTGTGAGTGAATGCAGCACAATCGCGAACATAAATGGACAACTTTAAAGGCGATTTTCTCAATGTTTCGATTTTTTTGCACCCTCAGATTCCAGATTTTCAAATAGTTGTATCTCGGCCAAATATTGTCCTATCCTAACAAACCACACATCAATGGAAAGCTTATTTATTCATCTTTCAGATGATGTATAAATCCCATGTGACTGGTTTTGTGGTCCAGGGTCACATATAGTAGAGTCCAAATATTAACATTAAATTGAAATACAAATTAGCTACTAAAGAAATACATAACCCATTAAGTTGTTTTAGTATCTTTAGTCTCAGGTACCTGTTTTTCACTATCTACAGTAAGCATTGACCATTAAAACCGTGTCTACACCTACACCAGACGCAAGCAACGCTACAAAAACACAACAAATTCCAGACAGTGAAATGATGCCCCGCTTTATTTCTGACATACTTCTACTAAGAGGGACAAATTAATTTGCAACGGTCAGTTTGTCGCGTCCAGTGACCTCTTCTAGCTGTTGCGACAGCGGTCATGTCCGGCGTAGACACGTTGTTCGGTATAAGGAACAAGAGAACACTGAGTTCAGCAATGCTCTAAATTCCTTTATATGATTGCTAGTTCCATTGCCATGTCTGAGTGGCATAACATGATCCAATCAATATCAAACTATTAGTACTCAGCGAGAGGCCTCATTTGTCTTGTGATGGGCTTTGGAAGCAGTGCTCCTCAGGCAATGCATAATGTATTTCACCCCAGAATATAGGACAGTTCTGTGGTGGCATTTGCTTATACTGTATAAGCCAGGGAATTTCAATTAAAGTTCCAAGAGGTGCGGTATATTAAAAGATAAGATCAGATGTTTTATCAGGCTATTATTATTTTTACATTTAGATACATATGTAAGGCAGAAGGCCATTTGACAGAAAAGATACTGTATGGGGGCTCAGGGTTTTGTCTGAAGTTTTTATGCTTAAATTAAGTATCTACTAAAAACAATGTACATAATCAAAACGTTCTCATCATGAGTAGAAAACCAAGTTAACTAGTAATTTCAAAGTTTTATTTGTCTTTCCTTGCCATCTACAAATATTTTTTCCAATTATAACATTGTTTATTATGAAATGCTCTTAACATGCTGTTAAATAATGCTAAATGTAGATGAAAAAAATCATCTATATATGATCAAAAGTCATAATTGTATTTGCTGCATTCTTGTTTTCTCATTTTATAAAAATATTAGAGGATGTAGCGCCGATAGATCATTACCATAAACAACCCTGAGCATTGTGGTGTGAACAGCTTCTTTGTTTTGAAGTACTGCTCACTTTAAACTGTAAAAACGGTAAAATGGTGCTACAGTTGCTCCAGTTGGAACCAAGCCATGATCCGGAACTGGACCACAGGCCGCTATTTGAGGATTCCTGGTGTAGATGCAACAGCTTTGGGCTTATTGTGCCACAGCTCGTTGCTGTAAATACTCTACACTGTGCACTGGTGGCTAAGCAAATTGAGTTTTGAACACAAGCGCATAAATATTGATCCATTTGGATAAATGGACCTCCATGCATGGAGTTTTTTAGGCCATATATCCTGCCAAAGGGCTACTTGATTTGAAATGAACATGGTTGTGTCTCTGAGATACTGTGCTAGCTGTCATGCTAACTGGGAATTATTTCCAAGTTTACCAGCTTTGATGGTTTCAACTTTGATTAGCCTGTTCCAATTTTATGTAACGTTTAAGTAATATTTTTCAACTTTCTACAACAGGAGGCGGTGGTCGGCTGCTGGCTGAAGTTCAGTGATGGCTCCCAGACTCCTCTTGATTTGTACGATCCCAGTGGTTATTCTCTCACTATTTCTTCATTGGACACAAGGGTAGCATCTGTGCGGAAGACACCTGGGTCTGTCTTTGTTGTGGTCGCTGAAGCCGAGGGACAGGGCTTACTTCTCAGAGCAGAGCTTGCTATCTGCGAGGCCTGTCAGAAATCCAAACGCAAGAGCAAACTAGCTGTGGGCGGAGGCATGGTGAAGGTGAAATTCCCGCCGGATGAACAGCTTGCGGGGACTAGCAAGAAAGAGAGCGACCAGGCCAATGATGATAACAACTCCAAATTGATCCTTACATCCGCTCTGAACATGCTTCAACACACCATTATCCAAGAGAGCACCACAAGTGCGATCAAAACGGCGACCAAATCCAATCTTCAAGAAGCAATAGGAGGTGGCGTATCCACGATTAAGTCAGTAAACACAATGGATAAAAATCTCATTACCAAGCCCGTCGCAGATAGAGTGCTAGTCACCATAAGCCCCAGAAGTCCAATTAAGAATGGATATGGAAACCTTCTTGAGAACCCCAACTTCCCGCTACCACCGGAGGAACCCAAGCGAGAACCGCCCCTAGTGGAAAGCGATCTGATACAGATGTTTAGCGTGTTTACAGACATAGAAGTCTGCATCTACACGCTAGTAGGACTATTTTGCTTGGCCGTTATCGGCGTCTTGCTTCACTGTGCCACTAACAGTGCGAGATCACGCAGCAAGAAGTCTCCGCTTCAGTGCCAGGGTCAATCCCAGCACAGGCATCACTGGGTACGCCTGGGTACAGTTGCAGAGCACAGCAGAGCTGCGCCGATTGCGACTACCTCCAAGCAGGACATGCAGGCTGCTGTGGAGATGCAAAGAGCCGTTCAGATGCAGAATAGCAAAGGCCCGGAGATGAACCAGTTGAGGGAGATCCCAGCTATTGCAGGTGAGGAGAGAACTGCAACTCTGGGACGAAGGACCAACACACTTCCTCTAAGGCGGGATCCGATGGCTCATATGGCTCCAATGGCTGTCAGGTCAGCCACCCTGCTGGCCAGGCCCGTTCGTAGCGAACCTCTACATTCTCCCACAAGTAAAAGGAATCAAGTCCACTTCACAACCTTCGCTACTCTAGACATCAAAAATCTGGCTGCTCTCAAGAAGAGCGGCCAGAACTTCAGCTGGGCCAGCCAACCGGCTGGAGGTTTTCAGGCTGCCAGTATCGGCCAGGGTGGGTTAAATGGTAAGGCCGAAAAAGTCAATCATGTACATTTTTGCAGCCCAGTGGAAGTGTTCGGTCAGACACCGGACTCCACAGAGTCCAATGGCTTTCTTCCAGAAGGTCCATGGCCTGTGGCTACACCAGTGTCAAAAGTGTGATACAGGACAGGGTTGTTTATACAAAAGCTCTATTAGCCTCATTCATGAAACACAAGCATTCTGTGTAAATTGTCTAGAAATCCATTCTTGCATAAATTGTTGCATTGAACTGAATACGACAGTTTATATGCAAATGTTTTATGAACAATTTAACACAGAAATTGTTTTTCACAAAATAAGGTCCTGTGTATGCATATGCGTGTCTGAAAAGTTTCTCTAAATTTGATGTAAATATTTCTGCAACTCTCAACAAAGTTTTTACTTTCCTGCTTTTGTATATTTGTATTATTATTAAAATCATTAGAAACAGATCACAACAAATATATATATATATATAAAAAAAAAAATATATATATATATATATATATATATATATATATAATATAAAACTGCTGATAATATAATGAAATTTGTTCTATATTGTGAATCCCTTATTGTGTTTAGCAAATACATGTAATTAAATCATTGAAATGTATAACGATTGAAATGTATTATAAAAATACAAACTTGTATAATATTGAGCTTATTTAATAATAAATAAGAATAAATTACATTTTTACTTCTGAGTATAACTGCTCTGCCAATCATAGCCCCAATTTTCAGTGTTAACTATTGATTTTCTGCTTTTATGAATTTATCAAATAAAGTGTCTAACTGTGAAGATTTCTATTGTTGTAGTTGTCTTTAATGATACATTGATTTGTGGTAATTTTATCACATCCTCTATGCATGTTAATGCTGACGCATAGGGTTCCTCTTTGTATTAATATGTGTATTCATCCATTTTATCATTGCAGCAGTACAGCTCCTTAAAATGCTCCACACGCCTCCTGATTGTTTCCTGGTTCGGAGGCCTTTATCTAGTCTTTGACCCGTGCTGTGGTTCAGTTCATCAGTGACAGCTTGGAGTAAAAAGAAGAAAATCTCTGCTGCAAACATACCTCTCTGGTTTAATGTGAGACCACCAACCCCAGCTTTGAACACTGATTGAAATCTTGAAATTGCGTTCCCCTCATTGCATGTGGAGAAATAGCTTGGACTAGGCACCTCAGGACTGTTGTAGATTTGTAGAGAGGGAGTCATCTCCAAAATAGCCCCACGTTTCTTCCACAGTATAGTGAACAGTGACAGTTGAAGTACACCACCAAGTTACCTTTGTGTTACCACTACCATTCTAGTATATTGCAAGCCAAATGAAATGTTAGTTTTACTTTAGGAGTTGTTCTTCACCAAAAATGGCTTGGAGTTCTGTGCTAATGGGGATAGTGTAGAGAAATTTCTTTACTTTTTGCAGGGAGGGGAAAAACATATCTTTTATGTCAATGTTTATAGGCCTATGTCTAATACTAACAGGATATTTAATTGCTGCAAATCAGTATGATTATATAATATTGTCAGTTTTCCTATTTAGTCCATGTTTAATTAATATTTAGTATTTACTGGGTCTTTTCAGCTCATGAAAATTATAATACATTTTTAATTTGAAATCAAATATACTTTGACCTCAACTACTAGTGTAAATATGAAGCACGACCAGTTTGAACCACTACTATAGTGTTTGATAGAGGTGAACTTTCTTTCCAAAAAGGATGTTTTAAATAACAGCTACGTCTGTGCTATCATTTCAACCATCACCTAATCCAGAGCGTCGGATATTCTATTGACAGATTTGCAGGATTGAGGTCATTGTGTTGCTGGATTAACATGCATCAGTGGATCTCCCTCTTCTCTGCCCGCATTTACCGATGTGGGCCAAACACAGTGGATCTGCTCTTAGCTCCTTTCACTTCTCATTTGTATTTAATTCTGGTCAAAGGCAGTATGTTAAGCCACTGTTTCAAGTACATTTCAAAGTGTTTTGGATTTATTTGAGATAATGCTTGAACCATGTTTTTTTTCTTTAGCTATCTGAATTTACTCATAGATATAACTTAAATTATAATGGTTTGCAAGTCAAAGATAGAAAATTATAGATATGTCTTTTTCAGTGTTAGCTGTAGTCTTTACCACTGCACGATAAGACCCCCACCCCAACCCCTCTTACCCCCCCTTACCCAAAAAAACCTGTGGTTGTAAACATTCCTGCCTCACTTCACACTTCGTCAGTGTGTGCTGGAGCATCATGACGACCAGATGAACAAGTGCAAAAACACTGAGAGTGGAGAACTTGGCATCCCCTTACAGAGGAACTGTAACTTATCAAAGCAGGCACAACGGCAAGCTTCCACAAGTTCATGTGGGAGGAGGGTAAATGATAAACTAAGGAAGAGAAAGATTGATTTTTAATAGAAACATTGAGGCAGCATTGAATGCCGGTTGGTGGGATCTCAGTTATTCACACAAAAAAGGGAGCAAAGCAAAGACATCATTCTTATCTTTTGCTTATTCACAAAATTTATAGTAGAGGTATTGTAACACAATTTATTGATGGTAATATTTTTGCCTAGTTTCGAGAGCATGGCTTCTCATAAAAGATAAAATAGAAAAATGATGATAAATAATGATTGGTAACCAGAAGGTTGCTGATTTGATTGAATTTTGCAGAATTTAAAAATAAAGATTCAGAAGGATTTCAACAATCTTTGTGTTACAGGTGTGGTGGAAGAAAGCACGAGGAAGAGCAGAAAAACTTGTATTTAATCAAACTAAGGAATCACAAAAACCACGCTACACATAAACGAGAACGGACAAGGAGTGAGGGAGAACACAGGGTTTAAATACACAGAGAACAGATTAGGGAAACAAGGCACAGTAAATTAACTAAACACAGGTGAATTAACTGAACACTAACGAGGAGCGGGAAAACTGACAGGACTAAACCAAAAACACTAAGCAGGGGGAAACACAGGACATACATGTAACACTTTGCATATAGCAGAACATTTTAAGTTCCTGTTATGTCAGAAGCACATTTTAAAGGTGTTTGGTTTTAAAACCATCTTTTTGAACATTTCAAAACTTTTATTGAGTGCACCTGTTCCGGAGGTAAAATCACATTAATTTTCTCCATAGGGTCAATGATTTTTTAACAATAATTCATAAATCTTTAAAGACAGATGTACTGTGAACTCTATGGTTGTTGATCAATGGTATATGGTTTATAGTTTCATAGTGGACATCAGTCCACATTAAAATAATTTATTTTTTACTTAAAAATTATGTTCAACACAAGGAATTCTCTGTGAAAAACTATATTACCCATGATTGTGAGAACAATACAATATAGGGAAGTATGTGATTTCAGAAATTATAGAGTCAGTTTTTCTTTGCTCTCAAAATTATTTGAATGCATAATATGCATATTTTGCAATAAACAATTAATATATTGTTTCTACATACCTTTAGATCAATAGATTTATATCCTTTTTAAAATTTGTCTTTCGCAATGCTTTTCTCGCAATTGTGAGTTTATATCTCACAGTTTTGAGAAAAAAGGTCTGGGGGGGGGGGGGGGGGGGGGGGTCTGAAGTGTGAGATATAAACTTGGAATTGTGAGAAAAAAGTGAATTGTTCTTCTTAGACTGATTGTTTTGTACATTATGTTTGATTAGAGAATAAGTGAGGCCTCGGGTTAGCTGACTTTGCTCAAAGAAGCCTGTTGCTTTGTTTGAAGTTTTAAAGTGAGAAAATGATCTGGAAGTGGTCTGTACAATTGGCTGTCCGATAGATTTGTCTGTATTAGAATATTTGAAAATAAATCTGCTCTTTGCTCCAGTTTAAGCTATTTGTTGAACTGCTTGGGCTTGAAAGATTTTTACAGTGTATAAATGTATTCCCCAGAGCTCTGAGAAGAGTATTGCAAGTTCAACAAATCTCACTTGAAAGTACAGATGAAGCATTTCTGTGTATTTTCGAAAAGAATATGAAGTCAGCCTGTATTCACTTAGCCCCATGCGTATTTAATCTAATTCTTTTTGCTGAGTCATCATGTTGTGGTTCTTTAAGATTTTACTTAGTGTTTTAGGAGCTGCACATTCTAAACAGAAGCGATTTCAAAACAGTATTTGCAAATATTGAAAAGATTAAAAGCAAAGGACTGGATATCTACAGCACAGCTTTTACAGTAACGCCACGGGAGACCTGATGGTGCCCAATTCTCTGTAACTGATAGACTGCGCTTTCAGCTCTGTGAATAGAGCTGCACAATTTTGTTTTATCTAATTTGTTGAGGAACACGTTACTGTTTTGCTATAGTAGTCAAGTGAATCAATAAAAGCTAAAACCGTAGTAACCATAGGCGGAGTTTGGGGGGGGCTAGGGGGGGCACTGCCCCCCCAGACCAGAGCCAATTAATGCCTGCCTTGTGCTTTGAAAAAAAAAAAAAATACTGTATTCATATTTTCTCATTTTATTTGTCTTATCTTATCATTTTTGCGGGTATAATGAGTAAGTTAAGGCTAAATTATTTTTAATTACTGTATTGAAAAAGAAGCTAATTTTCTCACGACTGGCGGATCTCAAAGTATCGCGGTAAGTGAGGAATTTCCTGTGTGTTTTTCGCGTACAGACACGTCCGTTCACATGGATCCCCAAAAAGGACTAAAACCGCTGTATTATTCATGCCAGGCCGACTCTCCATGAGAGGATAAAGAACAGGCTGCGGTTGACGATGGGAGCAGCCAGGTTTTCTTCTCTTGCGATCCTTCACATCGAAAGCGACATTACGGCCAAGCTCTCACCTGAGACCATTATCGACGCAGGACGCAAAAAAACGAAAATTACTGTTGCACTAGTCTGAGCAATATCTAGGTCTGTAAGTTTTATTTCTCTGCCAAATAACTGCTTAAGATGGAGAAAAACTCAACACACTGCTTTCAATATGCTGTTCAATATGTTTCAAAAGTGGAGAGTAGGCTATGTGACCGTTAATTTTTCCCGTGTCTCAATGTTTTAAATGTTTCATGAAATGGCTACAACAAAATGCGAAATAACTTTTTTTTTTTTAATCGCTCTCATTGCCACAATTGTGTTTCAAACGTGGAGAGTAGGCTATTGTGTGACTGTTCATTTTTCCCGTGTCTCAAAATGTTTTAAATGTTTCATGAAGTACAATAAAATGCGAAATATAACTTTAATCACTCTCATTGCCACAATGTGTTTTGAAAAAAGGAAAGAAAAGAAAAACTAAAAATCTTTTTGTTTTGGTTGAAGATAATATTTTAACAGTGCAAAAGTGGTCCACATTTCATTTATCCTAATTGTGTCCGAACGACAATGATTGCTACATGAATGAATGAATGAATGCTACAATGATTTTTTTTTTTTTTGCCCCCCCTGGCTCGAATGTCAAACTCCGCCTATGGTAGTAACATGTCAAATCC